TAGAGATGGGTATGTCTAATTCTAGAGAACCTGCACTCTATCTTAACAAAAATACTTAATATCATTAAAATTGCATTTCATTCAGTTAAATAGAATCCTATGCCAATTTGACAGCCCAGTTCTTTTCTACACATTGTGCAATGTACATTTCCTGACTAAGAATACAAGAATTTGTCCTTTGCTCTTCCCTTAACTCCAGACAAAATCAGTCACCCAAAGCTACTACTAAGTCCTATACATGCTTCACTTATGCATCAGAAACAATGACAGGGAATTATTAAATACCAATTCTTTGACCCCAAGAGAACACAATGAACAATAGTTGAAAAGTTTATCAGAAAGGGGAAAGCAATAAATTTGTGAAATCTCTTATGAAAGTTCAGATACTTTGCTCCCAGTCAATCATTATAATTAGCATTTGAAAAGCCATACAATATATTTACATTTGTGTTTAAAAATAACTTAACTGGATTTTAAACTAGAGTATGTTGCTGGATTGACCTTATTAGATGCTAATATAAGAAACTTAAATTCTATTACGTTTTATTGAAAAGGGTAAGAAACTTAAACCACACATGCCCCCAAGTTGCATATGCCCCAAAGCTATAGAAGCCTTGTCCCATCCAAAGTTCCAAGACTAAAGGCAACTTGGACATCCAGGAAAATTCAATTTGCTGCTATAATAGAAGTTGAGTAGAGGTGAATGGGATAAGGAAGAATCACTGATTTGTAATCCTTATTGGAAACAAAAACCACCTATCAGTATTAGAAATAGGACGATTTAATATAAAAAAAGGACTTAATAAATTTGCTAAAAGTTGGGCATTGTAGCACATGTAACAAAGTAAAAAGAAAGCAAAAGTTGGGCCTCCCCTGGTGGCGCAGCAGTTGAGCACTGGGTTGCGAGGCTGGCCGCAGCCTCTGCAGTGCCAGTTCGATCCCTGGCCACCAGCGAGGGTCCCACAAAAAAAAAAGAAAGAAAGAAAGCAAAATTTACCCTCAGAAAAACCCTGAAAGCTATTTTTCTCCAAAATATTGTAAATTTCATCTTATGTATTAATGTGCATTAAAAATTAATTGGATACAATAATACAAAAAGATCTATATTTTAAGGACAATAAATAAAGATATCAAGGAGAAGATTACTGTTTAGTATAAAAAGGTGGCTAAAACTTCTTGGTGTTAAGAAATACACACATTCTGGAGAGAAGCTAGAATTTCTGCTTTTCTGGCATTATTTTATTTGTAGGATAAACTGATTTATGATATTGCAAAGAGTAACAAAGAACTTTATTCTTCCTTTAATCCTAATGAATTATGTGAATAAACTTGGCAGAACACTGTAACTCTAAATTCTCTTAAAGGAAGTAGTGTAGATTGAGTTTTCAATCAAATGAGAATCATGCAATTTTAGAGCTAATGTTGTGTTTTAAAGAGATAAAAATAGTTCATAAAAATTGATCCTAAGTGATTAAATAAAACTAACTTGCAAGTTCCCATGGCGTTTTCTTTGGAATAAGAAACTACAGAATCAAATCTACCAGAACTCTTTCTATCTAGAGTTGAGAAAGAATTAACAGGCCAAAAGAAATTTTAAATGGCCTGGATTATAAGAATATGTGCAGCTTGTGTATAGACACATCTATAAACTTGCTCATACATTTCTTTCATACAACTAAAAAGGAATAAAGATGTGTAAATTAATTTCTCTTTTAAATAAATCTCACTTTCGGACCTCCCTGGTAGTGCAAGGGGTTAAGCACAGCACTATGAAGCTATCTGCAGCCTCTGCAGCATAAGTTCCATCCCAGGCCATTCAGGGAGATACCCACATGGTACAGTAGACCTCTCTTGTCTTGCCCACTGCTCCCTCAGCAGTGTATTTCAGTTAGTCTGCCTGTTCTGTTCCCCATTTTGTCTCTGGTAAATCCTCTCAACCCTCCCATCTCTGGCCTGTACCCCAGTTCTTGTATGCATAAATAAATGAATCTTTAAAAAATAAATAAATAAATTCCACTTTCAAGAATAAAGAACTTGTTGGGGGAATATCATCTTCCTATTATTTAGCATCCAAGTACGGAAATTTGCCCTGCTCCCTCACCCTGTCAATCTGAACCATCTAACAGATCTATCTAACCCATCTATGAATGGCTACCTTTACCAACATTGGTCAAAGTTAATGCCATGTATATTTATAACTAAACCAAGATCTAAAAGTACCCTTAATTGTAGATCTTAACTATAGCCCAGTATAATCCACTGTTGCATCACTGTAGGAACTACAATACATTGTTCTTTGAAGTCCAAAGCAACAATGGCACAAAATATCTTAAATGATGCAATCAATATGAATAAATTGATAATGTTTTTTTCTACAAAGTCTTAAGACTTCATATTTAAGGAGAAAAAAATTACAGCTCACATTCAATCAATATTACATAAGACATTTCAGGTACCAAAGAAAATCTAATCTCTGCAAATTCTTACATGAGTGTATGTCATTAGGTATGCACTGACTAGACTTTTTAAAAAATACATTTTTATATAAATTTTATTTGCCTTTCATATAGCATGCTTGATTTTTATTCCTCTTCTCCTGTTCTATGTTGCTAAAGAAAAAGAGAAAGTAGAAAAAAGGAAAGGCAAAGAAAACATTCTATAAAATCTGCTAAGATTTTATATGTAAGGGAAGAGAAGGCGTGTTCTACGTTTTTAACCTTCTATTTCTGCACATGCCTCTAGATCAGTGCTTCCAGTAACTATTCAAACAATTTCTCAATAAACTGAATAACTTATATAAACTTATAACTTATATATAACAATATATTGTGACTTTCATAACTATTAAGTGTTTGTAAGACTGCCCCAATCAACCATTTTAAAAATATATCTTCGATTTATGACCTTAGTGAACATACTAGACATTGTGAAAATGAATTCCTTTCAGATAGTCTTGACCAGTCCTTACTTTTTACCTGAAGCAGTCCCTATTTTCTACAATGTTTTCTAAAAATAAGCTTGATGGGTTTTGATTCACTTAGTATCACTCATATGTATTAACAGTAAAAAGAGAACAAATACACAGATATACTACCTCAACATCTCTTACAGTTTCCCCCAATTACCATCAGTATGACAGTATTTCTTTAGGAAATATTTTCCTTTAGGAAAAAAATACAATTGGATTGTTAATTTTGTGACCTAGTGGAGACTAGCCATTTATTATTTTGATGAAACAGAAATTCTAAACTTTTAAAATTCTCAAACTCAGCAAAATTTCTAAAAACAGAAAATTTTCTGTCAAAAAAATTTATATTCAATCAGAAAAGTAGACTAATCACTAGCTGTGCGATCTTAGGCAAGTCACTTGTTTTAGCACCATGGTGTAACTGATGGTATTCTGTACTCTGCAGGCATAAGATCTCTAGGACTGATCATTTTTTACAGAACATATTTTTAAAATACTCTGACTTATAAATTATAGAGCTTCATACCCTGGAGCAAGAAATCAATCCATTTCTTATTTTGTGATAATAACAAAGCTTAAAATCCACATTCTGAATAAAGTGATCCTAATTGTGGAACAATTCCCCTAGCAGCACTGAAAGTGTTGACTAACATTAAAGGGTCAGAAAACACAGCTTACTGAACCTTTTACATACTTATAAACAAAGGTCTAGATCTATTTTTACAATTCTGCTTTTCAAAAGACTGTCTCAACCACATAAAAATTATAAAATTTTAAGATTACTGGTACCCAATTGTGCACCATTGTACCAAATGACAGTGAAACAATGTGACTTGCAAGGGTCTATATAGCTGACTATAGAGTTGCCTCTTACTTAAAATGATAAGTAGGGATAATAATTTTAATTCTTTATATTTTCAATAGTTAAAAATTTTAAATGTTGATAACCTAGTACCATCAACTAAAACTATAAATTAGCACACTTAGCCTATTGCATAAAATCCAATGAACAGTTTTAACCAATGAATAACAACACTCACAATATCAATACGTAGGTAATATGTCACATTACACATGCTACTCACAATTACAGTTAAGGAAGCCAGAGATTCCTGGATGGAATATCTCACTACTGATATTCTCTATCTCACTGAAGCTGTGACCAGCTCTAGCAAATCTCAGGTAGAACAAAAGTAAGTAAACCCTGACAGGGCTGCACATTCCAGAGTAAAGAAATTAACTGTACCTGACCCAATTAGATAAAATGGGATAAACTCTGTGAGCAAAGAAGTCTAACCATGATTAATGCATGAATGAAATAATTTTGACATGTTTGCTTCTGACATTTATGATATTTACACTTAATAAAACATATTGGCTTCTCAAGATATAATTTCAAAAAGAATGATGAATTTCTCCCCAGATAAGCTGACTGCAAAGTTAACAGTGGTTTCCAGATGGATGATGTTTCGTAGGGTTGAAGTCATAGCTCCATGAATTAGATTCCTGTTCTTCCTGGCAAATTACTTTTTTCATTATCAATACAGCTGTTTTCCTCCTTCATGCTGCTTCTGCTCATTGTGAACTTCCACATACAAAGATATAGAGATTATAGCTTCCTCATATTTGGTTTCTCTAGGCAATATCCATGGATGAAATTTGATGTAAACAGCAAATTATAACTATCCCTAACTTCCACCTTTATCACACTCTGCCACTGCTCTGTAACTGATAACCTGCTCTACCTTTCTGCTAGGGTTCCCTTGCCTTCCCCATGAAGAACACTTACAGGCACATGTTGACCATTAAAGAAAAGGAAATTACTTCTAATAGTTCTCTACGACAATGTACAGGGTGAAAGTCAAAGCAAGCCAGTATCTGCAAGATTCTCATGGCCCAGGAGGCCACATCATGAATTAGGGTGAAAGCAAATTTTACCTGGAAAGTGATTTCAGTTAGGTCACCTAAGAATGAGAAAGAAAATAAACATATATTTTTAATGGGAAGTAAGTATGAAATTATGATTTCTGACCTGGATTTGTTGTTGAAGCAAATTTATCTTGTGTTGTTGCTGCAGAAGCTGCTGCTGTTGTCTTGCAATCTGTGGAGAAATAGCACATAAAAAATTTAAAAGCATATTGTAATTCCAAGGGGAAATCACCAATATTCTATTTCTCCAAGGACATGACAATGATTTAGATGTGCTTGTGCCCCTACAGCACCAGAAATTTGTCCTAAAGTAGGGACAGATAAGGAATTAAACTTTCGGAGTAATTATGTGTATTTCTTTGAATCCTAAAATGGATCCTAAGAAACTACACAACAGTGATCTAATCGAGTATGAAATGTTAAAGAATTTCAGAGATTCCCATTGCAGGCAACCTATTAAGAAAGAACTGCCTCTGACATTTTCAGCTCTTTGCTATCAGAGTGTTACATGAACAGGGGACTGTTGTGGCCAAAGAGTTCAAAGAAGCATTGTCTTGTCAAATGCTACTGTATTCCTTAGTGAAATTTTATATTCCCTTTTTTTTTTTTTTTTTTTTTTTGGTAAAGACTATCCTCATTTCTACCACCTACAAACCCTTAAACTGTCAGCTCAACACACTCCATTCTGGTTCTTGCTCCCTTTCTTTGCTAATGTGATTCTTAATCAAGTCACCATTATTCCTTTTTTTTTTTTTTAACATGAAGTGATTTTTAGTCCTCACTGGTTAACCTTTCACTAGAATGCAAAACTCAAGTGATTTCTTTTGATCCTGTACTTTCTTCCTTGGCTTCTAATGACATCATGTTTCCCTGGTGTGCTCCTTCTCTGTCATTTGCAATGGTCCTGTCTAGGCTTCCATGTGTAGGTTAGACTCCATTCTTTCCCCTCCATACCTACTACCATATGTTCACCAACTGCTTGTAAATTTGTCTGTCTACCCTAGATCTTTGCTTTAAGCTTAGAGCCATTTATCCAATAACATTTTCAAAAGAACTTCAAACTCAACAGGTTCAAAACTAAACTCAGGACTGAGAAATCAATGTGATCACCTGAAGCACTTCTAAGTCAGGGACTATCACAATCACCACCTGGTTATTGCTCTCACAACATCCTCCACAACTACTTAATACTACACCACATGCTATGATTTTATATTTAGTTTTATTTTAATTAACATCTTCAGTCTCCTAGGTAGAAATCCATAAATATAGCAAGGATAAGTAATATATAAACTTTGCTTACCACAAACACTTTGTACAATGCCTAATACAAAAGGAGTATAGAATGAATACTGATGAAAAATGCAAGAATAAATATATGAGAAGAAAATTTTAAACATTTCATTACAGGATAGTGGGTAGGAGACCTTCTTATGGGAATGTGACTTCTAATCTCCTGAAACTAATTCTTATAAATATGATCTAATTTTTATTTTCATGGTATTATAGTCACTATAATTTTCATCACAAAAAGTAAACTCTAACCTCTGTATCAGAAAGCTAAGGCTTCATAAATAAATGGGTACACACAGAGTTGCTGACAAAGAATAAAAGTAAAGAACCTACACAGTGGGGTAGGGTCTACATGGCTGCACCATGAATTCTTATTTCTATTGGATACAGGTACAATTATGATTATTTTAAACTTTTCAATTTATTTTAGGGAAACTTTTAAAATTTTGTAGAATTCTGTAGAAAGGTGGGCCTCTCTGTTGGTGCAAAGGGTTAAGCACAGCACTATGAAAGAATCTGCAGCTTCTGCAGCACGAGTTCAATCCCCAGCCGGGCAGGGAGAAACCCACATGGCGAGGCAGACTATCTGCCTGTCTCGCCCACTACTCCCGTCAGCAGTGTATTTCAGTCGGTCTACCTGTTTGTTCCCCACTCTGTCTCTGGTGAATCCTCTCACCCCTCCACATCTCTGGCCTGTACCCCAGCTCTTGTATGCATAAATAAATAAATCTTAAAAAAAATTCTGTAGAAAGGTATGAAAGAAGGTGTAGGAAAAGGAGCATCTCATTTACTCAAGTCTTATTCCTTCTTCCTACATGTCATCTGTATCTCAGCTAACATTTAAATCCTTTAATGTACGGAGAAACTGACCACATCGTACCTGCCCAAATTTCCTCTTGTTCCAAGCCACTGTTGTCCAGTGTGTGGTTTGGTGAGATAACCTTACTTACTTGTTCTTTCTGCTGCAGTCGTTGCTCTCTATATCCTATGATAAACCAGTATCCTTTAAAAGGAAATTTCCTTTTAAAATATGTTATTCATCTTTCCAACAATACAAGGCACTATATGGTTTTCCTGTGTTCTCAGATTTTTTTCTCCTCTCTCTCCTCCCTTTGTCATGCCAATCTTGCCACACTGCTTGAGGAAGTTTCTATCTCCTGTTTCTGTACACTTGTTCTCCCCTTCATCTGGAACACAATTTTCCTAGATAACCGCACTTCTCACTCCCTCACCTCTGATGAGTCTCTGGTTCAGATGTTATTCTGTCAATAGGTCTTCTCTCAGTACTATTTTATGTTATTATTTTTTATTTTTTTATTTTTTATACAAGAACTGGGGTACAGGTCAGAAGTGCAAGAGGGTTAGAGGATTCACCAGAGCCAGAGCGGGGAGCAGAACAGGCAGACAGACTGAAGACACTGCTGAGGGGAGCAGCGGGCGAGGCAGGAGAGGTCTGCTGCACCATGTGGGGTTCTCCCTGGCCGGCAGGGAATTGAACTGGTGCTGCAGAGGCTGTGCACAGATTTGCAGTGCAGCGCTCAACCTCTGCGCCACCGGGGAGGCCCTCAGCATATATTTTAAAAGAACAGTTTTTTTTTTTTTAGCCTGGCACCCACGTCCCTAATTTTCTGCTTTATTTTTCACCATAATCCACATTATTTTACTTGTTTATTCATTGTTAATCTCTTCCCAACTAGAATTTAATACACAAACTATTTTTGATTGTATCCTACTGACTGGTACAGAACCTACATCAAAATGATACTCAATACATATCTGCTAAGTAGATGAATGTGGAATGGAGCTTAGAGTCCTGGAAAGGCTATTGGTGAGCAATTTTGAAGGGTTCTAGGCTTGATAAGTGTTCTAACTGCAACACCAGTGTGCTGAGTAGGGCAAGCTTCCAGGAAGGTCAGAAAAGGAAGTTTTAATAGAAGATAAGCCTAACCTAAATGTAAAACAATAAGTATTAAATGTCCTCCAGAGAGTTCCTGTGTCCTGATGAAAAGATCTTTTTAGCCATGACAGTGGCTACTGTGTGCACTAGTGAGGACCTAGGAGAGCAGAAGGGATCTAGAAACCTGACCGATGATACCCTCTCAGGCGGTGGTGACATCCTTGCCTGCCATCTCTCCAACGAGAGGATTTCTAAAGTCCCAAGCAGAAAGAAAGTCAGAGAAAACAAAACATTTTAGATTCCTCTGATAATATTTGGGGATGAGTCAGAATACAAAAGAATAAAAGGAAAATTGTTCTCCATTTGTGAGCGCTAAGATTTTTCAGGCAAGTGTGCCCTCAGATTCACCAAAGTGTTTTCTACAAAGAAATACTTCTAAGTACCCTGAGCTGTGTTTCAGTACTCCCAGGATTTTCTAGAATTCAGATTCTAAAGCACTGAGTGTCACGGACAAGGAAGGCTGGTGTTGTACAGACTATCAGAGGCAAGTGCTTGGGACTCTTTTATGGATGGGGCAAAGCAGGAGGAACATGGACCCTATTCCAATAACAGGTCAGATAAATGCTTCAGGAAATGGTCAGGCATTTCATTAAAAAATAAAAACACCATCTTTTAAGCAGATAAGAACCACGGAGTAGAGAAGAGAAAATTGAAAGAACAGGGTCCCTTTGAATATAATCTGATTATTTCTTCACCTCTTTTAACTCAGCTAGCTGACACTCTGAAGGCAGCTGAGGTTTTACAATATTTATGTGTGCAAATGCCCTGGACTAAATCATGGTCCTTCTCTACTTAGAATAGTGTGTGGACTAAGTGCAGAATTTGTGATGATGAAGGAAGTCAGACCTAGAAAAGACAAGCCAGCTTTGTATGTAGGCTCAAGCCATGATACCCTTGATTTTGCTTCACAGTACTGCCAACGTGCTTTAGGTAACAGTCCTTAGGGGTTGCCTCCATTTTTCCCTTGAAATATCTGTCCATTCTACTGTTTGATTTCTGTACTAAAACTCCACAGAAGCCAGATTCTTAAAGGCCAACAACAAGAAGAATCAAAATGTCAAGTCTAGGGACTTCTTGCTTCTGGGTATGTTCACTTTCCTCTCTCTACCAGCTCTTTTCCAGAATCTTCCAGGATCTCCTCTCAGGTCCTTTCCATTTTCTTACAATATCACCACTTCTCTAATTTCAGGTCTCTAAAACTGCCTTTCCTCTGTAGAAAATGCTTCTTCCTCTTATATTCATATGGCTCTCTTGGAAGTCATTTTGATCTGAGCTCAATTAGCAGATCCAACCAGCCAATGTAAGAAATACCAATTTGCCATGACAATCAATATTTACCAAATTACTCCTTTTACATTTCTTCACATCACCTATCACTGCCTGAAATTACATTGTGTAGGGTAAAGAAAATATCAGGCTTTTCTGCCCTCCCGCCATCAGGATAGACGATGAATCCTTGTCCTGAATGCATGCCTGATGGCGGGCACCTGGAATAGGGTGTGGGCATAGGTAGATGGGATTCAGCTGAGCTAAGACTGTGCTTTTAAGGGCGGCGTCACGGGGACGCCAGAAGCAGCAGCAGAAGCCGAAGCAGAAGCCGAAAGAGAAGCCTAGATCACCAGAGAGCCCAGATAGAGTGAAGATTTGTTGGGGGCTGGGAGGCCTGCCAGCCTCCCGGCCCCCCAGCACCCCTGTCTGCCATATGCCTGGTGAACCCCAATAAAAGACCTGCAAAAACCACTAAGGACTCTGACTCCTCCTTTATCCGGTCTGCATGGAATCAGGAAACCTGCACTGTATCCAGTCCTGCCTTTACACATTGTTCATTCCTTTTTTCTTTGTCAACCATCTGACTTTTTCCATTGGAGGTAGGGACTTTGTCTTTCTTGTTAATTGAGGTAGCCTCAGCAGTTAGCACAGTGTCTGTCACATATGAAGCACTTAATTAGTATTTGTTGAACATAAGAAGGGAACTTATTATTCCAATGGCTTAAACTACCATCACACTGTGGACAGTCTAAGAAATTTAGCTCAGTCCTCTCTCCAAAATGTTGGTTGATATTTCTGTTTGCGGTAGATATCTCCAGTTGGACAATCTAATAGCAGTTCAGATTCAACATAATGAAATCACCTATGTTCCCAATTTATCCTCTTCTTCACCTGTGCTGGCTCAGTATCTTTCCTTGCCTTTTCCATTTTCAAAAAAATTCTAAGCATAACTACTCTTTCACCTCTTTATTCCTTCTCTTTCCAGAGTCATTATCCTAATTGGATTAGATTCTCATGCCTTATTTTGAAAAACTATTCATCGCCTCCTACCTAAACAGCCTGCCCCATAACCGGAAATTCACGGCACTTGCTGAAACCTATCTATTCTTCAAAGCTCATACCAAACACCTGTTATATGAAATCTTTCTGAATGTTCCCTGACTGGAAATGTTCTCTTCACTCTCCAGTGTTCCTTTTGTTATTTCTCTCATAATTTCTCAAAATTTCACTTTGATTTTAATTACTTCCACATTATTTACCACTAAAGGAACTGATAAGCTTCCTAAGAGATTTGTGCTGGCTTGCCTTGGTGCTTTGCCTTTTTATTTATGTTTTTAGGGCAGGGGAGTGGTAAGATCATTGTGTGCCTGGTCTGACCATATATCACTCACCTGTTCTTGCTGCTGCTTGGCCAGCTCCATTTGCTGGCGCTGTTTCTCAATCTGAGATGCAGCCAGCTTCTTCTGCTCATCATGGGCAGCCAGCAGCTGCTCCCGAAGACTGGTCAGCTGATTGATCATACCCATGAGCTGCCTCTCCTTCTCAGCTAGGCTTTCAGGAGTCCCTGAAATAACATCACAATATAACACACACATGACAGAAGAAAAGAGATGAGTGATTTTTCAATGAATGGCCCTGTTATATAAAGGACTACTTCAAATCTAAGGTCCAACACATGAACATGAACATTTTAGATTTTCACTCAGTCATAAAAGTGATGGCTTTGTACTCATTACAAAAATCAGCATAAACAATTATTCTGATTTTTTAAAATTTGTGATAATATTCCATAGCTTTCCTCCCTCCCCCCTTTTATTTTAAAAGTAAATCAAAAATTGTCATTTGAGCAATGATTATTTTTATGCTCTATGCTGGGGCCTGACAAAATAAAAAGTCTAAAACATAGTTCCTGGCCTAAAGCAGTTTTTCCTCAAATTAAAGAGGCAAGATGAAAACCTGGAAATTTAACAATCATAATTAAGAAGAGAGATCAAGGTATTATCAGCTATATGATTTTCCTTTTCTTAAATAAAGGATCTTGATGAATCAGAACTAAGGAATCCTACTTTAACGGGAGGGGGCAAACTGTAATCCATTGAATATTCGGCTGTTTTCTCATATGCCACTCAGAGGCTTGCTTCAGAAATAAAATGTAGCTACCAGAGAAAATATTCAACTTTGAGAATATAAACTATATGGTTATATAAAAATATAATGAAATGTGCTTATAAAACTAAGAGATCACATGATGACCACCCAGTATTATAGTTAAATTCAATTTGGGGGGGAAGAAATAAGGGCAGTCATTTAATATAAATAGCATAACTAAGATATTTAGAATACCAGTGAATGTTTTAGACAGGTTAAAATACTTATATTGTACACTGAAATGTGAGCAGTTCACTGAAACAGAAACAAGATCACTTTTAATTGTTCTTTTAAAAATCACCAGAAAGACAAGACCCCTATGGTAAAGCAGTACTAGTAGGAAAGAACATACTTTTTAATTACAATTTTCACTTCAAACATAAGACACTAAACAGTATTTTAATAATGCATTTGCCACCTGTATATGTAATTAGGTAGAAAGATCTGTTATAACCCAGTCACCCTACCCTATCCCACTGCACTGCTCCCTACCAATTTATGCTGAAATACCATGTGCTTTTTTAGGAAGTAGTAGCTATAGTTAGATAATTTGCATGTGCCCATTTAGAAAGGAAATAATGTTTTTTGTATACTTTACAGAAGCTAGAGAACAAACATCTAGAAAAGAAATTCTGTGTACGGGGCAAGACCCATGCATTATAAACCTTGTCATTACCAATACCTAGCCATATTCAATAAGTGTTGCTAATAATTTATGATGACTTCAGAATAATAATTATTTGAGTGCTGTAATTAGAATCCCAATATTACATAATCTAAATATGTACTGGGAATATCTTCCAATGAAAATATTCAAATGATGGTTTAATATGCATCTTCACACAATCATTAGTGGTAGAGTAACTTTAACTTTTGCTACCATATTTTTAGGAATCCACTCTAGGAAAAGTTACACAAATCACATCCTGCCATCGTTACAACTTTCAAGTAGTAATTTCACTTCTAAATATCCAGCCAAGGAAACTGTAAGAAATGAAGATAAGTGTGCTTATAAATAAAAATGTCAAATGGGAATAATCAAATAATTATGGGATATTCATGTGATAGATTGCATTCATGAAAAACTACTTTTAAGGATATTTAATGACATAGGAATTTGTTCATAATATAAATCCAGGTGAAAAAGTTGAACAGAAATGAATCATTTGTGTATACTATTTCTAGGTGTTAGGATTGTAGGTCATTTTAATGTTTTCTTCCCACTATAGAAAATTTTCTACATGGATATTGTCACTATTATAATTTCTTTAAACTTTTTTTATTGGTGTTTCTTAAACTATTAGTGTTATAAAGGCTAGGACTTTATTTGGCTTAATTTTCTTATGGAAGGTTGTTGCTTTTAACTGGCATTCCATTTGAAGGACTTAAATATTATTTGTAGTGCTGCCTTTAAAAATGTTGCCTAATGAAAGGGTCTCTACTTGACTGAAAGCTCTAGAAGGGCACAAATTTGATGCAATTATATCCTCAGAACATGGCACATGGTAACACAGCAGAATTTGTGGAATTAACTATAAAATACAATGAATAGAAACTAACTTAATTTAGTCTAAATTTACAACTGAAGCTTCTTTCAGTGTTAGTCTTAGCCAACTAGAGAAAAAGCAGGCTCCCTTATCAAAAGGGATGAATGATATTAAAGGAGTATTTGTTATGTTATACAACTTACAAACATCCCTGAATTGGTCTTTTTTATTAAGAGCAAATTTAATCAAACTTTGATAAAATTTAGCTATGTGTGCTTTATGGAAATAGAGACTCTCAAAAGTTGGAGTAAATTCAAATTATGTAATGAATACTATCATTTATCACATGACAGTATAAATTCATATTCTACTCTATACAACACTAAATATTCTTACCTTCTAGCATTCTACAATGTATTTTGAAAAAAATAGTATTGTTCTTTTTTGCTTCAGAATCTTATTTTTTTTTAAAGATTTTTATTTATTTATGCAAGAACCAGGGTACAGGCCAGATGCGCGGGAGGGTGAGAGGATTCACCAGAGACAGAGTGGGGAACAGAACAGGCAGACTGATGAAATACACTGCTGAGAGGAGCAGTGGGCGAGACAGGAGATGTCTGCTGCACCATGTAGGATTCTTGCCGGCTGGCCGGGATCGAACCAGCACTGCAGAGGTTGCGGATAGCTTCACAGTGTGGCGCTCAACTGCCTGTACCACCAGGAAGGCCCTTCAGCATCTTTTTAAAGGGAGATGTCTGGATTTAAATAGATCTATAGAAAGCTTTCCGTGCAAAGGCAGCTGCATTAGAGAGCATTTGGAACTGACTTTGGTCTTCACCTGTGTTACACCTCCTGGCTAGATGTTTTGTTTTGGGACTTTATGAATAAGATGCATGCTATATAATTTCTGCAGGAATTCAATGGTCAAACTTTTGCTAACTTATCTTAAAGTATGATTCTACACTATTTTTACTGCAAACTTTTACCATTTAGTGCAGATTATATTTTATAAATGTTTTCCAAAGATTATTCATTTCACTTGTAATTAGAGTGTAAAAAAAGTTTTTAGAAGTATCACATTAAATTTACTGCATTTATAGACTAGAATCTAGTCAGAAATACACATCTTAAAACATGGGTTATTTTATTTATCATTCATTCACTAAACACTCCCTTGCTTTTGGACCTAGGACCAATAGTAAGTTCAGATGTCCACAAGGAAGACTCAATTTCTTCCTATGTAAATAGTAATAAAATGAATATTTCAAAATCCTTTTGTAGTGAAGATATTTACAAAGTGCCTTACTTAAATGGGTATATAATAAACAGTAATCTGCAACTGGTTTTAAATGAGCAGATGAGTAAGTAAATTAAGAGATAACTGGATTCTTACAAGTCCTTGGAAGAATCAGGACGATATGACACAAAATCATTTTGACTATACCATGCTTCCCCTAGTAAGAGAAATGTGAGTGTAAAACAGGAAACAGTGTTGAGTTAATTCCATCTTCCCATAATCAATGCAGTGTAAGCCTGCATCTACATGAAAAAATAAGTTTTTATCATTATTTTAATTTTAGGATCTTCATATCCCTTGCACAAATGAACAGAAATACTTTTTATATGAATGTATTCTTTATATATATATATATATATATATAGAGAGAGAGAGAGAGAGAGAGAGAGAAAGAGCATACTTTTATTTTTAAATATAAAACCCAGATTAAAAATATAAGATTCTCTATTTAAAAGATATGTTATTAAGTACTTGTCTTCAAAATTATGTCAGATACCTAACTGGTGAGCTGGGTCAATGCTTTACAAAGCAATGAGACCCAGGGCTCATCATTTTCTTCCTATCACTTCACTTCACTGGCATCCCGAGACACAGCAAGTCACTGCTTTGTAGAAAACATAAAGTCAAACTCTGCTTTCATAAACACTGCCAAACTTATTTTAAAAACTAATAGTCTGTGTATCAGCAATCTTTCGCCAGTTCCTATGAAGTAGTTTCTACAAAAAGTGAAAGTAGTACTCAAAAGCAACTACACGAGGACTACTACTAATCAGCGTAGTAGTTAAAAGTTTAATAAGCATTTATTTACTTAGATGTAGGTGTATGTTACGTACCATCCTTGTGGATAACTCTTGTACTGAACAAATTCCAGATTCAACAGTTTTATCCTCTTAGATAAAATGTACAGAAAATTTGTAGGTTAACATACCAAATGAAATAGTCACAAGGTTACAATTAGAAAACCACATGATTCTTAAATAGCTATTGGATTTTAAAGGAATGATTTTAAAATAATTTTCAAGATGATACAAATCCTTATATATTTAAACATTGGGACTTAAATTTTCATATTTTAAATTAAGAGAACTCTAAGGACCCCTTACTAGATTTATCACCCAGGATCTGATTATTATCCCCAGCCTGCTTGTTTTCAAATTGTCTGGTGTTATTTAAACAGAATTATCTCTTTCCAAGGCACATATTGAATCCAAATATATCTTTTCTCTCAAAAGTGTATGGCACCTAAGAGATCATCTACTTTAATCCACGTGTTGAATCTGCATAGCAGGTTTTTAATGCATGAGTTCTGAAAGGTTATAGTACTGCTAAATGCATTACTCCCTTGAATCCATTATTGGCATTCTAGACTTGTTTGGTGTTTGCCTTTATGTACCATCTTCTAGAAAGAACAAAATTACAGCTTTCAAAAGAGATTTTTTTATTACACCAAATGCAGCTGACATTTTCCTTAATAACAGATATGACACTTTGCAGGTCTAAATTAATGCATTCTTACCTAAGTGAGAAGGGATGACTAGGGACACTGATGGCAAAGAAACCAGACACTAAAGAATTCTTCAAATGAAACAGGTAGAGAAACTGATCTAGACTTTTCTGAGTGACCTAGTGAGAAAACCTTTCAATGTTCCACTTTTATAAACCTCACCAAGATAGAAATACTTGGCTTTTGCAGCAGATCTTTGTGTTATAATTCTACAAATATTGTCAGTCAAATATAAATTTTGCAATCACTTTGATGGAAAATGAATGAGCTGTTTACATGAGTCAAAGCCACCTTGGATCCCCAGACAAGGCCCTCAGGTGAAGTGCCAACGCAATGACCTTCAGCATGGTGGGACTGCATGCTAGCTGAAACAATGTGTGACGATGCTGGCTGCCAACTGGAGTGCAGGCGCTGCTTTTTCCACTTCTCAATGACTAAGAGGCTATGAAAGGAATTTCTTCACCTTTCATAACCCGTTACTCAGTGCTCCTGCCCTGGATGAGGGCAAAAAACTCTGTAAACTGACCAGTTATACTACATGGCTGATTAGAAAAGAAGAAATAAATCTTTCAGGCAGCTAATCAGTTTATGCCATATATTGACTGCTTGTTGTTGGCAGAGGTTTTTTTTTAGTCAAACTCTTTTGCTCTGCAAAACTGAAACTGGGGTCCTTTCTGTGAGTTTTTAAGAGGATTGTTACTAATATAACTTTAAAATCTAATTACTTCACATTCCAAAGTACCAGACCATAAAATGGTATATATCCTTACAGGTAAAATAATCTAACATGAAAAATAATTTTATGCTCTTAGAAGTGCTGACCTTTACTAACTCACTTGTTTCTTGAAAAATGAAATTGACTTTCAGTGAGTATAACAACTTTTTATTGATAAAGTATCCAAACAAAATGCTATTTATTCCTCTTATTTTATCATTGTTACTTTTAAATACCAAGAAACACTTATTGAACTTGGCCTGAAATATATATATATATAAATGGCCTGAAAATAATTCACTCATGGTAATGTAAAGCCGGTACTTAGAAAATGAGCTGAGTCTTCGTCTGGCTATAATCTTAGATATTTTAGAATAGGGCACACACACACACACACATTTACTAAACTGATTAAAAGTTGAATAAAAAAGAACCAGTATAAATGAAAGAAAAGTTTCAATTCACAAGATTGTCTGAATAAAACAATGGCTGTAAACATACTAATAAATGTAAAGGTTCTATTCAAATACATTATTCTAAGTTATCATTAACAAATCATCCAGTAATTAAGTTCATATTTTCAGATTATTAAAAAAAAAACACATTTTCCTTCCCTTCCCAAACAAAACCAGGGTACACTTACATGAGACTTAGACCTTTATTTGCCTCATAAATAAAACAGCTGCCAAACAGGTAAGTCATTGTTCTTGTCTAACTCCAGAGGTGGCATGAGAACGACATTCCTGGGCTCAGTGTGTGACCCCCCCCAAGAATCATTAAGTCAAATTCATTTACCCCCCAAAGGGCACCACACTATTGTCTGCGCTCCACTTTCTAGCCACCTGTGAACAATGGATAGTAATTGCAACTGTCATGGGCAGTCAGTAGGAAAAGTAACCCAACGCTCATTTCCCAGTTTACTGCCAAGCCCGATCGGAGCACCTAATAACCATGCCCCCAACAGAAGAGAGAGCTACAGTTGCTTTGAAAGTGCATCAGAAAACAGCTTTTGAACAGAACCAGAGGACAATAACCAAACTTGTGCTCTGAATGTGAAGCTTAAAAAACTCCAAATTAAAGACAGAACCTTCTTTTGTGACTGTACTGAGCTTCCTGAACTAACCCCACAGGCAAGCCTGAACAGACAGCAGAGCCTCCTTTCTCTAAGCTTATCCTCACTGCTGCTGCTGCTGCTTTTATGTTGGACTTGTGAGGAAAACGAGGGAGGGGAAACGTGTGTTCTCCAATGGAATGAGATCACAGGTGGGGAACAGGAGGTCTTCTCTGCTCAACTCTGTTATTACCTCGCTCAGGGGAGAATAAAGAAACTTAGAGAGTACATTTTATATCTCAGGGGACAAGGGGTTAAAATTCAACAAAATAATATGAAGGGTCTGCTGCCCACAACTACTCTATTCTCTTTGAACTTTGTCTTGAAGCTCCCTAAGGCATATTCACTGTTGTTTACTTGAATATGATTCCACTCTAGATTTCGGTTACTGAATTAGGTTGATTAACACCCATTCATTCTCTCATCACCCATTCACACCTAACCATAGCCAGGATATATGTAAACTACAAATATGTGGATGAAAAGTGAAATGTGCAGTCAGACATTTTCTGGAGTTTCTAAATATGGAAATCTTAGTGTAAATCTCAGGGGTCAGACAGTTGAGAAGACTGATCTACGTTTTGTTTTCTTAAGATACTGGGCGACAGTAGTAGTGCCTTGAGAGAGACAATTGTTTCTCTTAGGGGCACACACACAAACACGTGATTGATACACACATTTCTACGTGTATATTAATATAAATCTGGTGAGCAACATATAACTAGATATATAATATTGATAAGTATTTTTCTCAGAAAATTAATCCTAAAGAACTCAGTATCCATAGTATTCTATTAGCAATAAATAAAAAATCGTAGATTGTCTCCTATGCACTGAGAAAACACATTTGTAAGTTAACTGAATAGATTATTTGATTCTACCTTTTCATGGAAAATCAAATCTCTTCCCCCTCTTTATTAATCAGTTTACTAAGACTTCAGTATCTTCTGAAGTCCATATAGCATTTTTCTAAATTATATGTAATTGCTGACTCAAAACCAACTGCAAAATGTCGTTCTTATAGCACAAAACAATCTTTCATTAAGTCTTCTCCATTCATCATTTCTAGTTTTAAATGTAGAATAGGTACATTCATACATCCTATATAGAAAGTGTATGAAACCTTCTTGAAATGCGCAGAACAGAACTGCGTATTGCTATAAATGCATCCTATTTATAAAGTAAATTATATATACTTTTTCTAAAAAGTGATGAAAACCAAAGGCTGTTAAAGACTCAGTGGGGCTATTCAGTCACAACAGCATGCTGTTTATTCTATAAGGCACAGAAAGAGCAACTCCGAACCCTGATTCATCCACTTTCAAGCTAGATAGAAGACACCCCTAATTCAGAGAAGGCAAGGGGCTGAGTAGGTTGGAGAAGAAGTGCTCTATCATCACTAACATTCCTGGAAATCAACTTCATTTAGTTACAATTTTGATCAATATAATTATAAACATATTACCTTTTATTTCACCAAAGTTCCCTGATCCCATTGCAAGAAGCTTGTCTTTCCAGTCCTTTGAGAGTAGCTTTTCAATACTGGGGGTTTCTAAGTAAAGAAAAAAAATGTAAGCAAATCAACATGACTATCTTTACAATGGAGCTCATTAAAAGTCTATCTGCTAAAAATAAGGCCATTCCTAACCCAGCCCCAGTTCATAATGACTTCATCAACAAACTGATAACAGGGGAGGAAAAAAGAATGTGTTTTGTCACCTGCTGTTTCAAAATCATTAGCTTTTTCCTCTTGCGGAACAAAGCCGTACTGATTCTTTATGACAATGGGTACACATAAACCTGCAGTTCATTGTTTTTCAATTTGGTGAACAAATTCCTGCTATAATGGATGCTTGTCAATTTCAGGGTGTTAGTCTGCAGTCAAAAAATAATTATGTTGATAAAATGCAGAGTAAAAAAAAAGGCAAAGAATTAGCTCTTAAATCTGCTACATGTAATTATATCCCTCTGTGTGTTTACAATTACATCCACTTTATAATATGTGTTTAACATCGTGTGGTGGTAAGCACACTGTGGAAAGATTTGCCAGTACCGAGAACATTAAAAAAAAAAAAAAAAAAGTAGGTATAAAGGAAGCTTTACAAAGATTGCAAAATCTAGAGAAGCAAGTAATACCTATAATGAAAACCTATTATTTGTTTATTTCAGATTTGCATCATGCTCTTTTAAAATGCCCTTTATTGGGACAGGGTACACAGATTTTAGAGACCAAGGCTCATTTTATACTCTGACATTTGTTTCTATGTATCTCACGGTTTCTGACCTTGCCTTTTGTGTTGAATTTTCATGTATAAGTAAATATAAATGCTAATAAAACTCCCAAACATTAAACTCAGCTCTAAACAATGCAATTGTATATTCTTGTCAGCATTTAGATGGGTACACAATTACAATGGCTTTCAAACCCACGATTAGCACTGCATTCAGTTAGAAAATGGAGTGTACTAAAAGATAAGTGTCCCAGTATGCCCCATCTAAATAACAATGCCCACACTTATTATCTGGATCTAAGACATACACTGCCATTCTCCACATTGGTGTTTATGTGTATTTGTGTTTGTTCAGACATTTGCTTACCCCCTACTAGGAGCATAAAGGGAGTACATGTTAACTTATCAAAGGGACCGTCTGGCCTAGGGACTATAAGATTATTAGGAATTGGTTCATTTTCCCCACTGTAAAATGCATTTTAAGGCATCTTTATCATCTCTGGCTGATGCCAGGCGCTTTCCTCAGACCCCTATCTTACAGAAATCAGCTATCAGGGCCTGTGTGGGCTTTTCAACAAAGCAGAGGTGAAATTTTCCTTGGCAAAACAGTGACAGTATGGAATGCTTCTGCTTCAGATATCAAAACTTGTGGAAAATGAAATGGTGAAAGCGATAAATGATTAGGACTTCTGTCCACATGTGAAGTGCATATATATTTACATACATATGTGTATATATATGTATACACATAATGCACATGCATATATACACATATGTATACTCACACACTTACATGCTACAACTGTGTGTAGATTTACTATGGTATGTGTGAAATGTATTTTTTTCCTTTATAACAAAATCTATCTCCATTTTTCAGGTTTAAGGGGAAAGATTTTTCAAGGACTTTTTTCTTAAAATACCCCTACTTCTAAACCATATTGTTTTGGAAATGGTAATGAAAATTATATGAGTAATAAAATCAATTTAATATCTTCCTACTGTAATCAATATTTCTTTTCTTCGAGGCTTTAAAAGTAACTTTAAAATACTGCCAGGATTCCCAGTTGCCACATTCCCACTAAATGCTTGGTGAGTGAAATTTTCTAAATCTTATCAGAGTAGGTCAAACAAACACCACTGTTTCTTTTTTCCAGCACTCCACAAAAATTCTTGAGTAGCATGTAAACAGGGCACAGCCAAGAAGGTATTTGCAATAGAGCACTGTCTGTCATTAAAAGCTAACAAACCTTTGCAAAGCAGGAATGCAGCAGTAGAAATCCATTGTGCACTAACAATAGGCCCTGAACCTCGGCACCAAAAGCAGACCATTTTACTTTTAAGGCTATTGTCTGCAAAGTCCATGACAAAGCTTTTCCCCTGCAGCTAGACAAAATATTCACTGTAGTGTGCTTATAAAGAAACAGAAGTCTTCTGTCTAAGTTGCAGAGTTAAAGAAACAGCAGCCAGATTTCTGAAACCTGCAGAACATTCTTGTCCTCTTCATTAACTTGCATAAAGATATAAAGCTTGTCTACAGAGCCACTTTTTTTTAAGCACCAAACTCTGAAGACATGCTACAGAAAAATGAAGAACTTCTTGTAATAATTTGGAAAATGTCAAATCAGAAATAAGGCTAACTCAGGACTGTCGTGCCTGAGGATGAATAAGGATAATAACACATGCAATTTGGATGAGGGATATACTTTAAATTCAGATTCAATAAACATTTATTGAAGAGCTTAGGGGCCAGGAACTATACAAAATGCTTTTTTACCTGTGTTCTCTCAACAATCATAGCAAACACCTGATGACATAGATTGTGTTACAAGAGCTATATTAGAGTTTATTTTTTAAAAAGAAGAAAAGAACTTGTCTGGGGTTTCACAAAATGTAATGGGCAGAGCTGAGTCATGAATTAAGTTTTTTCTCCCTACAAATTCCAAACTCTCGTCAATAACAAAATGATGATAGCTACTATTAGCAGGTTATGTGCTAAGCGGTATAGCAGTTCCCTTATATGTGACACCTCCAACTTCTCATAGAAATTTTCTGCATTGGTGCATCTGTTTTACCATTTAAGAAACCAAATCTCAGGAAACGTAGCTACATTCAACTTACAGGCTTTTTTGTTCTTTCCAGTACACATACATGCCTCCCACTATATGATTTTACACTTTAGAATTGTAGACAATTCAGTGAAAACCATAAAGCAGAGATAGCTGATAAACTTAAAATACTCATAGGGTAGGTCTGTTGGGCTCTAGGTCAAACAACCTAGCTTCTGACCAAGACTGTGACATAGGCAGCTTGTGGGACAAAGGGCACCTCATTTTGCCCAAACACCTCCACATCAAATCCATATCCAGTATTCTATCAACTGCCACTGTTTCCATTAGTTTCCCTTCACAGTTTGTAAAAATGTGGTAAGAAATGAACTCACAATCATCAGTGTGAACTTCTCTGAAAATGGCAAAGATCCCGTAGAAAATTCATGACTAGAGATGTAGAAGACTAAATGGCAAAATCCCAATATTTATAATATACCTGTTCAGAAACACGCAGTTATGAGTAAAGTGAAATGTGACACCATTATGTTAAGTGCTGCTTCAGGGCTTACAGAGCAAAAGAGATAGTTCTCTATTAAATATTATATCTTCTAAAATGTGATGTATTTTAAAAACAATTACAATTGTATTTTTATACTGTGAGCATGTTTTATACTGTGAGCATATTTCCAAATGTTTGAATGCTGGATTATTCATTATTTTCATGTTAAAATGTGCCATTATTTTAATTTAAACACTTTAGAAGATTCTCCTGAGAGTTACTTCTCCCAAGCATTTAAGTGTCATGGTTCCCTTCAAAATAAGAACTAGGGCTTTCTATATTAAAATAAATGTGAGTTATAATAGTAATTATTTCTTGCATACCATTTCAGCTTACAGAATGTTAGCAGATGTAATATCGTTTTTGATGGTAAAATTTATTATATCTATTTTGCAGATGGCAAAACTAAGGTTCAGAAAACTGCTTTGTCCAAAATCACCTGTCCAGAAAGCAGAACAGACAAAATATAAAACCATTCCTCTTTGCTTAAAGATCTATCTCTTTAGGGGAAAAAGAGGTAGGTATAGGTTTTATAAGAAAACAATAAAATGTTAAAAATGTTAAGAAGTAAGTTATAAAATAAATTGGATAGAAATGAAAACTAACATCAGTCAACACATTGATATTAATATGACTCTCACCTTGGATTTTTTTTTCTTTTGCCATCAGGACCCTTTTGGTATGTTTGCTTGCTTTTCCCTTCTCACCCTTACATCTTTTGCTCACATATGCTTCTTCACATCAATGCCTATGGCAATCCCCACCAGTGAATGGCCTCCCCAACTGTGCCAGCCATTGTTACAACGGCATCCTGCCTCTTTAGGGCCTGTTCATCCCCTATAACTCTCACTCCTTTTTCCCTTCAGTGCCAAACACTCTTAAGACTGACTCCCTCATCTGGAACAATGAGACCTAGAGACTCATGCCAACATATTGTAATTCTCCAACAAGCTGCCAGTGCCAAGAATTAAACCACATTCGCTCCAGTGCAGTAGCTTTACACACAAGCTCAGGTTTTTGCTTTGTGTTTATGTAGGTTTTTTTTTTCCTTTAATCTCCCTTGAGCTGCAGTGGTAGAGCTCATTGAAAAATCGAACAAGCAAAAAATATGTATGCATAATATTTGACTTTTTAAACAAAGTCCCAGGAGTTAGGTCATACCAAATCTACCACTGTTTATACTTTAATTTGGTAGCTTAAACTAAGCTGTGCTATTCCTGACATGCGATAGGGTCACATGGGAATCATCTTCTGGAAGGAATAACAATAAAGCTGAACTTCAGAATATACCAATACCTCCTTGTAAGGCAAGAAGTAAAAGTACATGACATTATTCATGTCATAGAATCAGAATTTTACACCTGGAAGAATTTTTAGCTATCATTTAAATAAGAATTTCACAGGAGTAATTTACTGAAACATATATTGGACATAAAATGGTACATAAATTGTTTGGCTACTTGAAACTAAAACAAATATCATAAGCATTGCATTGTCATCTAACTCTAATTAATATTAAACAAATTTACATTTCCATTCTACAAGATTCAGATCTTCTCATGTGCTAATAGACTGCCAACTCTTTTAGTGAATTATGGATTATATAGCATTATTTAAATATTTGACCAAGAAAATTAGTGTTTTGCTCACTACAATTTCAGTAAGAGCTTGATCTAGACCAAACTCTCCATTTCACCAACTGGAAATTATAAAT